TTTTTTAACAATATTTATAAATTCGTTACGCTTAGCAATGTTTTTTTATATTAATTATCGAAGCAGTAAATATATTAATTTCCTTTCTGTGACAACCTTACGCTGGTCACATCCAATCTTTTGTGGGAAGAAGGGATCGATACTTAGATTATATCTTACACATACACATTAAATAAATTTAACAGGAGAATAAATTCTTTTCTTTAAAGCGCACTTGAGATTTGAAGCCACTCCGGCGGATAACTTGTAAAATTAAATAAGTTTAGTTCGCGTATTTTCTAAAACACTATATATACATCTAGAGGAGATGATGGAAGAGCAAAAGCGAAGAAGAATCGGATCTCACACTGTAACAAACGTTTACAAAGCCAAAGCATATACAATTTCGAACTCTTAACTGCATATGAGCTATGTATGGCGTGTACATAAGTGTATACATACGTAAAAAAACCAAATGACATTGGATCTCGTTTCTCTGTTTATATTAAAGCATTCTACACTTTGTATTCTCCAAACGCTTCAATAAACCTCTGTGAAATTTGTAGGAATGATTTGTATTACATACGATCCAACGTTACATTTCGTTCAATCCGTTGAAGCGCAACTTTCAGTTTTAAAGTAAGTAAGACTGTAATAACATTTATAGACATAAAGTTTTTCGTATGCGTGCATACTTTTCTTATTATGTTTCCAAGAATATATAAGTATACAAAATAAAAAATATTTGGTTCTAACTAAAGAAGGCTTTCTAACAGAATTTCGAGTTGTATTTTTCTTTTTGCCTTAGAAAATGCCGGAGATTCCGACGGGATTCCTATTGACAAAATTGTCGGTGGTTTTTGAGGTCATTTTTGTTTTTCAGCATTGTGAATGTGCAAGTCAAAGGATCACACACATTTTTTTAAACAACATATTTTTAATCGATCAAAGAACAATAAATGCCAAGCATTTTACGAAGTATTTTGAAAATATCTGGAAATTGTATTGTATTGAGAGTGTACTTTTCCTTTTTTAGAAGCAATGCTGTATTATCTGAAGGCATCTCCAAACAGATAAAAAAATCGATGGAAAAAGAGCAAAAGCGTCCAAGTCAAATGATGATGACCTGTAAAATATATTTACTTGATCATAAAGTAGAGCGAAGCTCCATTCACTTGATATATTCTCCAAATTTTTTTTAATAGCAATATTTGCTTGTTGGTTTTTCAACTTACATACATATGTATAAATCTCTAATTTTCACAAAATAATGAGATATAAAGACCAAAAAAATCTTCAACTGAAATTTGTTATATAGCGCGAGTGTTCTGGTATAAGTATAGATATATCCTGTAACGAAAGGAAAAGAAGACATATTGCAATTTACTCATTTTCATTTATATATGGCGTTCATCATTTCGCTTCTGCAACAATATCAATATGTGTCGACAAAATATTAAAT